ATACTTGACTGCAGAGCCTGCATGCTTTAGTTTAACTCACACACATCTGACTGGGATGAGCTGGAGATGATACACTCTCGTGTTAGCACTGGGCATCACTGAGGGCAGTGCCACCAGACTGCCCTTAATGTATGGTGTGGTGCCAAGGATCAAATTCATGGCTTCATGCCTGCAACACAGAAGCTTATTCACATACCCAGACACTCGAGCCACAGCTTTTTAGGGGGAGAAAAACCCCACAAGATAAAAATCCCTAAGAACAAATCTAAATATAAGTCCAATTTCTTACTAAATTCAACAATTACAAAGTCAGAGCTACTTAAAAAAAGACTAAATGGCATTTGTACCTGGTAAATAAAACTAAGCCCATACAAGGTGGCTGGTAATAGTATGAGAACAGTAAATGTAAGCTTCAAGAGATATTCATTATTCCTAAATGATATCCACTGACCATTTCTCCCAGCATCAACCTTCTCCTATTATGACTACCCCTAGACCTAAGCAACTACCTTGATCAAAATACTTGACAGTCATACCTTCCAAGTGAAGAATGCATATTCTGGGGACAGAGAGATAGTACAGTGGGTAGGGCATTTGTTTTGCATGTGACAACTGGGGTTCAATTTCCTGCATAAGCACCTCTCTGGGAGTGATCCCTGAAGATAGATTCAGGAGCAAGCCCTGAGTGCATCCTGATGTGGCACAGAAATAAAACAACAGCAATAAAGAGCAGACTTTTCACAAGTTCTGCTGCATGAAAATATCAAGGCAGCATCCCGGTATTTTTTTATTGTGGGGGGAGAGGGCCCACCTGGCAGTGCTCAGGGCTTACTCCTACCTCTGCACCCAGAAATCACTCCTGGCAGTATTCAGAGAACCATATGGGATGCATGGTACCAAACCTGGGACAGCTGCATGCAAGGCAAGTGCCCTACCTGCTGTACTATGGCTGACTCAACACCTCTGTATTTTTTCATGCTTCAATATGAAATTCAGTATGATTTCCAGCTCTGTCACTGATCAATTGTGTGATGTGGGGACAGGTTATTTGATTTTTATTGTGCCTCCATTTTCTAAGCTGTAATATTCATAAATATATCTACTGATTTATTTTATCAAGTTTTTAAATTTTTTCTTTTTTTTAAGATAAATCAAGCAATAGCTTTTTTTTTAAAGCAATAACTTTTAATAAATGCCACTGGAAGACTCCATCAGAGAGTAGATTGCCAAATTTAAGGGAAGAACATAAAAAAAAACTGAATCAAGACTCTTCATGATTAGCACTTACTCTTTCTTTCATAGGGGATGAACATTTTTTAAAAAAGAAATCATACACAAAAGAATCCTATAAATTTCAGTCCTTTGGTACATACATTTACCATAAATGTTTATCACATTTGTTGATCATTTTTTTTTTTAGAAAAACAGAATTTAGAAAAGATGAAGTCATGAAATCTACATACAAGTGGTACTACATGGAAAGTATCATGCTAAGTGAAATGAGTCAGGAAGAGAGGGACAGACACAGAAAGATTGCATTCATCTGGGGAATATAAAGTAACAAATTGGGAGATTAACACCCAAGAATAGCCAAGATAAGTACCAGGTTCACTCCATGGCTTGGAGGCCAGCCGCACATGCTGGGTCGGAGAAGGCAGCTTAGATAGAGAAGGGAGCACCAAATAAGTGCTTCCTCTTCACTCAGAAATTAATCCTGCCAGAATTCAAGGAACCACATGGGATGCCAGGGGTCAAACCTGGGTCAGTGACAAGCAAAGTAAATATCCTATCCACTGTACTATCTCTCAAGCCCCAAAGGGCCTGAGTTTTCTACTCCTAGTATGTGTAGTATGCAATGGCTCCCCAAGCACTTCTGGGTGTGACCTTGGTTAGTCCTGAGCATCATGGACTGTGAACTAATCTGTCCACTCACCGAAGTGAGTACTCCCTGTACTGAGTCCCTCAACCCCCACCCCCAAACCTCAGCTGCACTGGTATGACTGAATATTCAGTTTATTCAGTAAACTAATAGTAGAAAAAGTTTGTGTGAAAAATAAACCAAGTATTAATTCTCTTATGACAACACACAATTGGAAAGCAGAGAGTGCTTTTTTCCTATAAGAAAACATTGGATATAACACTGAAAAACTGAGCTAGAGTTTTATCGTGAGAACTACTACTTATAACTTTTTTTTTTTTTTTTTTTTTGCTTTTTGGGTCATACCCGGCGATTCTCAGGGGTTACTCCTGGCTCTGCACTCAGGAATTACTCCTGGCGGTGCTCGGGGGACCATACGGGGTGCTGGCTATCGAACCCGGGTTGGCCGAGTGCAAGGCAAACGCCCTACCCGCTGTGTTATTACTCCAGCCCCACTACTTGTAACTTTTTTTAAAGCAACCAAATTGCTCCCTTGGTTGAAAAATGTGTAACCACATTTTAAGATACTTTTTTATAATTCAGAATTATTATTAGCTTGATAGACCTCTCATTTATGTTCTCCATTTCGATAGCTATACCTAGTTAAGGTCCTTGGTTAATTCCTCCTGTCTGAATAAACACTGATTTTCTCAGTTCCATAAGTGCCTTCCCCAGATCATCCTGCACAATACTGCCAATTTCATCTTTCTACAGCTGCACTATGAAGTAACTGCTCTATTCAAAAATGCTTCCTTTACTTGCTCCAACACACACACACACACACACACACACACACACACACAACACCATTCCAGGAGGACATCTCAATATGTTGAGATTAATACTAAGAAGCATGATGTGCCTTTCCAAGCTCCTTGTCTGTTACTTTTCAAGAATGGACATACACCCAAACTCCTTCCTCTATTCCTTTACTTCTCAGATCCTTACATCTCCTAGAATGTCTCTCACATTCCCACTGACAATCTTCTCTTCATACCAGCTTAATTTCCTCCTCCTCCACCAGGCCTTGGGTTGTTTGTTTCAGCATACCACTTTCTTAACAGAGTTCATGTCTGTCTCTCCTGGAGCTGGCCTTTGTCACACATTATCCTGGGCCCCAGAAAAAAAATATTATTTGAAAGAATCATCTTGAGCACCAGAACTGTAGTAGTCATTGGTAGATCGATCCCACTTCCCATCCCTTGGCTTCTCAAACAAAACAGTGATAACAGCTATTTATGGAACTCAACCAGTGGGAATGTATTATACTTTGGCCAGTTCATGGATATTAGACACTCTAGACACAGAAACTAAACAAAACTGCTATAAGAAGAGAGCACAGATTTCTACCAAAAAATAGACTGGAAATCATATAATAAGAAACTGTTTCAGAATTAGTATGCAATAAAGATAAAGGTTTTGTCTTTAAATTGATTGTACATCAAAGGAAAACTGAAAAATGCAAGATGCAAATTTCCCAAAATATTCTGTAATTTAGCAGGCAATACTTAAGGCTTTAAAGGAGATGATATATTTCAGTATAAAGAAAATACATTTCTCCTAATTATGCTACATAACATTTTAAAGGATTGTCAGTTTTCTGTCTCTTGCTCTAATTTTAAACGTGATATAAAAGGACAATGCATAATTGTACAAAAGGTAAAAAATAAGTAGTGAAAATCCAGGAGACAGGATACTGTCATACTACAAATACATAAAGGATAGCATAGAAAGAACAAAATGGTTTATAGATTAAAAACACAAATTATTTCATGACCAAATGTCAAACAGAAAACTGCTGGATGGTTTAGAAGTACATACTAATGGCAATGAAATAATTATCATTAAAGGCCTATAAAAATAGGTCAAGGTTCCTGGGGGTTGGTGTTTTATATTGTACAGTTTTTTAACTTTTTAATCTTTGGAAAGGAAAACTAAAACTTCCTCTAAACTCAGATTAATACCCGCTAATGCACGGAAAAAAGAAAAACTAAAACCTTGCTCCTACTATAAAAACAAAATAGTGTGGCCTCTGTTTCTTTTCTGATAAGAGTCTTAAATACCAAACAGTTAACTGCATAATAGCATTTACTGGCAGCCAGGCAGCCTGCTTAGCAGATATATAAAGCAGGTAAAAGGAGAAAAAGTTAATTTCTTGGCTGAATGATTCCATCGGTAGCTATAGGGCAAACCTGAAAGTCTTTTAGTAAAGTAGCAGTTGATTCTTCTATCAATCTGTAGCACACATACTCTTCCAAGGAAAGCATTAAATATGAAAATCATATCCCGTTATCATCTGTTTCCAGCTTTCAGCCCAGTAAGCTTTCCTTAATGAATGCTGCAGCCTAAGGAACAAGCACGCTGTTGGCTTTTCTGAATAATGGAGTGATGCTACCATTTTTACTTATTACAGTATCGACTGGCTGAGGGGGTTTCACACATAGTCACAAGTGACTACTCTTGCCAGCATGCTCCAAGTTATTACAAGATGTTTTTAGACATTTCATCTAAAAGAGCTTTACTGCTTTTAGTGAAGAAAACATCTATGGTCTTGAACAGAATCATTTATATGGAGATAGGCGGGAGGATTAGAAGCCTGCATTACAGCAGATACATAGCAGAATTTATTTAAGTATTCCTTGCCGGTCTTTTTGTCTGTTGCTTAGATATGCAATCTTTTCTTTCCACTTTTTTCTGTTAAAAAGGCTAAAATGTACAGAATTACATATAAAAATAAGAGAATCAAAACATATATTTGGAGCTTACTTTCACTGAAAACATGGGTGGAACTAAGAAAATTCATTATTTGTTCCACAAAGCATTATACAGAAAAACGTAATTTCACCTATTAACAATAATATATATTCCTTGGAGTATGTCTCTTTCAAACCCTTAGAGACTGCTTCTCAACAAATGTAACTGAAATAGGCATTAAAGTCGTAGTAAACAAATGCCTTTCATCATTTCAGATTTAATCAGTAAGCTCATACTAAAATGACTTTATTTAAAACAATGTTATGTTTGTTTAAAACACAAACACTCCAGAAATTCTATTAACAGAAAGTTTATTTTAATGCATTACCTTGTTTCTGTCTTTATCTTTCACTTCAACCTTCATTCCTCGGCTTTCCTGTGAGAGTAGCTGCATCTTCTTCATTTTAGTCTCATATTCAGTCTAAATACAAACAAAGTTTGATTTTGTGAAGGATACTACTACAGCTAGTTTCTACCTATATTTTTCAGTCTTTACACTTAAAAAGAAGAGTTAAATAAAAAAACTAAAGCTGATACTGCTGAGAAATTCAACTTACATTAGTAAATAGATAATTTCATAAGTAATATATATAAGAGCTGAATTCTATAAAATGGAAAACTTTAAAGAAAATTTTATTAAATTTTAGTCTTTCTGCAACTTAAGGAACAAAACCTTGATAGGTGAGGCTATAATAAAACCCAGTCACTGTATTGTAAAAGTAACATGTAAGACTATGTTTTCTCTGAAAAGTTTTGTCCTAAACAACAGAAAAGAAACTGTACTACTGAATTCTTATATGTCTCAATTCTACATAGGGTTATGGATAACATAATAAACAATGTAACATAGCACACTATTTGCTATATTACCAATTAAAAATTAATTCCATTTTCTGTAAATAAAAAATTTACTATATATATTAATAATCAAAAGAACCAAATATCATAAGAATCATGTTTGTTTTGGCATTACCAACATAAATGTCTGGATCATTATCACATTATAACTGATGAAAGTGATTCTATCATAAAATAATTTTTTCTCAAAAGCAAGGCACTAAAAGCACTTTAATTTAGTAAAGTGCTAAATTAAGCAGTAATATACTATTATTAGAAACACACCTGAAGCACTGTCAAATTAAAAAATTGTTTCCTTAGTTCTTGATCTGAACATAAAAAGCTGAATTTTGTTCTGAAACATAAAAATGAACAAACAGCAATAACCCAAATTGACTTGGTTTCCTGAAAATAATTTAAAAGTTATTAAAAGCCACCTTTTTAAAAAAATTAGTAATCATTTAGCTGTTTTTTTTCCTCTGTAAGGATGCCATTAACATGACAGAAGTAGTAATCTAAATAAATACCTAGTTAAAGTTTTACAAAGTACAAGTGATAAAAAGAAACAAGAGAAGATAAGGAAATAAGGCAAATAAGATATAATTTATATCTCTCTGTTCTACATCTCTTCTTTGAACTCAGGGATTTTAAAATTTTTAATGAGTTTTATACAAGGCATTCCAAAGAAAAGCATTTTCTTAAAGGAGAGGTGCAGACTGGAGAGTACAGCAGACAAGACACTTGCCTTGAATGTGCCCACTCAGTTTGAACCCCAACACCCCATAAAGTCACCCAAGCACCTCCAGGAGTAATCCCTGAGCACAGAGCTAGAATTAAGTCCTGAACACAGGCAGGAATAAGTCCTGAACACAGTCAAAAATCAAAATGCAAAAAGGGATGGGGGGGGGGCAGAGAAAATAGTACAGGGGTTAGGGAACTTGCCTTGCATTTGGCTGATCCCAGTTCAAAATCCTTAGTACTGCTGGGGCTGCTTCTGAGCACAGAACCAGAAATACTCCTGAGCACCACCCAGGTGTGGTCCAAAACAACCACCCCCACAAATAAACAAAAAATGTTAATGAAATTAAAAAAGAGAGGTAGATTGCAAAATGAATAACATGGAAATGAAACAATTAGAGGTTAAACAAAATATATTTGTTCTTAGGAGAGACAAACAGCTCAACAAACTAAGTACATGCTTTGCATGCAGAAGGTCAAAGTTCCATCTCTTGTACTGCATGGTGTTCCCCTACTGCCCTCCGCACCTCCCCTCTGGCCCCCAACACATACCACTGCCAGAAGCATCTTGTGACCATCATAAAAGAAACAGTCTTTGAGATGGGAAATATGTAGTGCTTGGGATTAAAACTGGATCTTCTTGCTCACAAAGCATGCACTCAGCCTGTTGGACTACCTCTACAGGACCCAAAATATTGTTCTTGTGCTGCAAATGCTTTCCCATATTCTTTGCGATCAGTTTGAAACATGCAGTGGACATTGGTCATAATTTCTTTACTATCACAATAAGAGCCATATTTACTATGTTTGTCACTGTCACTGTCCTCCTGTTGTTCATTGATTTGCTCGAGCGGGCCCAGTAAGGTCTCCATTGTGACAATTGTTACTGTGTTTGGCATATCGAATACGTCAGAGGAAGCTTGCCAGGCTTTGCCATGTGGGCGAGATATTCTCGGTAGCTTGCCGGGTTCTCCTAGAGGGGAGGAGGAATTGAACTCAGGATGGCCATGTTGGCTGCACACAAGGCAAACGCCCTCCCTGCTGTGCTATCACTCCAGCCCATTTACTATGTTTAAGAGCCATATTTCATTATCTCACAGAAACCAGAGTTTTATGTACTTAATTTTGCTGAAGCAAAACATGTAAGGTAAAATAAAAAATATATTTTAGGTTGTTCCCTGCACATGAGAAGAATTCAATGAGTAGTAATTACCTTCTAAATTGTGCAAATAAAAACTACACAATATTTTGAGGTCAACAACATCCTTTCTCTCTCATGCAAGGCACACAGTGTTGCAAGGAACGTAAGTGTACACATGCCTTATTTAATTACTGATCTTGTGTTCTTGGAATAGATGCCAAGATGTGACACTGCTGAATCATATTACAGTGAGGACAATTTTTCTTAAATACAATGACCATGTATGTCTTTTCTGAGTATCTGCTGTGCTTATCCCCATATTTTGATGGGGTTGTTGCTACCGAGTTTTTAAATATTTTATATATCCTATGTTAGATAGATAGGTGTGCAAACATTCCCTCCCATTCAGCAATGGGTCTTTATTGCAGTCAAACTTTCATTCACAGTTTATAAGCTTTTGAGTTTGACGCAATCCCACTTATATATATTTGCTTTTGTTTTGTCAATGGAATAGTATCATTGAAGATGCCTCAAAAGTCAACATAAGGAATGAACTACTGTGAACTACTTTTATGAATATAAAATATACAAAAATTGTAAAAAAATAAAGTCAACATCAGGAAGATCTCAGTCTGTTGTTTTTAGGTCTATTTTATTTGTTCAAGTCTAACACTGAGACATTTAATGCATTCTGAATGAATTTTTGTGTATGTATGAGGTAAGGGTGGCCCAGTTTTATTCTCTGCATATAACTAATTTTCCCACCACCACTTGCTGAAGAGGCTTTCCTTCCATCACTTTATGCTCTAGGCACCTTTGTCCAAGATTAACTGTCCACATAGCTGAAGATTTACTCCAGGGACCACAATCTATTTCATTAGTCTGAGTTTGATTTTATTCCAGTACCAAACTCTTTGGTTACTATAGTTTATGGCATAAAGTTGGGAAATGCAATACCTTCCTCTGAACTGCTCTGGCTTGGCTCCATAAGTATTTTAGCAGTATATATTCTATATCTTTGAAGAATGTCATGGGAATTTTGAGGGGAATTGCACTGAATCTCTACCATGCTTTAGGTAGCATAGGCATTCATTTTGCTGCTCTGTGGAGGGACCTGGAAAGTATCATGCTGAGAGAAGTAAATCAGAAAGACAGGAACAGACACAGAATTATTTCTCTCATACCTGGGATATAAAGAACCAGAACAAATAAAACAAGTTGTGAAAATAACAAGTGACCAAAGGCAACAAGATCTGAGAAATAGTCTTTAATAGGAAGACTATTTGATTTTGACTAACATTTGCTTTTGTTAGAATTTGATTATAATATTAAGTTATAGAAACATAATGAGTATAAAATATGTAATTTAATTATATTTAATTTTACACTTACTATATTTAATAACTACTTATCTTGGGTTGGAGCAATAGCACAGCAGGTAGGGCATTTGCCTTGCACACAGCCAACTTGGCTTCGATTCCTCCATCCCTCTCAGAGAGCCTGGAAAGCTACTGAGACTATCTCGCCTGCATGGTAAAGCCTGGCAAACTACCTGTGACATATTCAATATGCCAAAAGCAGTTAACAAGTCTCATAATGGAGACGTTACTGGTGCCCGCTCAAGCAAATCAATGAACAATGGGAGGACAGTGAACAGTGCTACAGTGCTACTTAATAAATTAAGCATAATCATAATTATATTTACAAATACTATTACCATATAAATTCTTACCTATTAATATTACAATGAATATATTAACATTCCTCTGTCGGCTCTGGCAGAGGAACCCAGGCATGCGGGTCCCGGGGCTGAGATCTCCAAGCCTGCTCAGATCGAGACTGGGCCTTCTCCACCCAGATCCCCCCCATCTTCCAGTAGGTAGGCATTACACCTACCAGCTGCCGCTGGTGCCAGGTGGTCCTGTCAACGGCCAAGACCCAGAGACTATAAAACCCAGGTCCCTGAAGAGAACAGTGCAGAGCATCCTGCCCCAGTGCCTGGCTGTCCTCACCGGGGCCCCTTGGAGGAGGGCGGGTTGAGTTTCCCTCCCCGCCCTGAGCAGAGCCCCAGCAGCCAAAGACCTCCAGAACCAGCCACAGCCATGCTGAGACCACTCTCCACACATCCAGACAAGCCTCATGCATGAAGGAACTGGCAGAGGAACTCAGGCATGCAGGTCCCGGGGCTGAGATATCCAAGCCTGCTTGGATTGGAATGGGTCTTCTCCACCCAGATCCCCCACCTTCCAGTAAGTAGGCGTTACACCCACCAGCTGCTGCTGGCGCCAGGTGGTCCCGTCATTGGCCAAGACCCAGAGACTATAAAACCCAGCTCCCAGAAGCGCATTTATGGTCGCGCAACATCTTATTATCTCGTTTTTACTTTGGAGAACCCAGCAGGCTACCGAAAGTATCCTGCCCACACGGCAGAGTCTGGCAAACCTCCCATGTCGTATTCAATATGCCAAATACCAGTAACAATGATAGGTCTCATTCTCCTAGCCCTGAAAGAGCATTAAATATGGCTCTTTTAAAATCTCAGGGCTAGGAAGAAGGAGACGTTACTGGGGCCTGCTCCAGGAAAGTGACGAACAACAGGATGATCGTGACTATGATATTAAAATTAATTTAAAACACTGTTATATCTACATTATAAATAAGTATAATCAAATTAATATTTCATTAATATTTTGTTCACATTAATAATTTATTTTAAATAATGAATATAAAAAGCAAACAAGAAAAGATACATATTCAGGAAGGGCAAGGGCTTAAGAAAGCAAGCCCAGGAGCACATTTTAAACATATTTAAAGTAAATATATATTTTAATTTTTTAAATTTATTTTTATAAAGTAGTTCACAATATTTGATTACATTTAACATAAGAACACCAATCCCACCACCATTACACTTTCCCACCACCATATCGCAAAGTTTTCCATCCCGAACCCCAATCTCTGCCCCAAAGCAGAACTGAAATATTTTGTATTGTTGTTATGAATAACTCACTGAAAAAGATCCAAAAAAGGTTTCTTAGAGGAAATTGTGTAAAGATTGTTGTATTTCACCTAGGAGCCATTAAGCCCTTCTATAAGAGATTACTAACATGCTGTTAAAGGTTGAGCCTTGTGTGCTTATGTGTGTGTTGTGTATGTGTATATATATATATTTATGTAAAAATATGTTTTCCCCTAAGATTGGTTGCCTTCTATTCTAAATCCCATCAAATGTGGTTCTCTACTCTTGGAATATTAGTGGTGTGAGATATGAGATATTGTGATGGCCACTCGGTCCAGGAATAAATTCACTCACAGTGAGGCTTTTTGAGAGTGTATAGAGCAGTTGTGAGCATGGGTTCCCAGCTTAAGCTGCTCCATCACTTATAAAGCCCCTTCTTTTTTCAGTTGTTCCTGTGTTTTTCCTACCATGATTCATCCCTAGAATAAATTCCATTTGATAATAGTGTATGATCTTTTTAATGTATTACTGAACTTGTTTTGCTAAGTTTTTTTGAGGATCTTTGCATTTATATGTTCATCAGGAATCCTGGTTTACAATTTTCTTTTCCAATGATGTCTCTGCCTAGTTTTCATATCAAGATAATGCTGGCCTCCAAGAAACTGTTCAGAAGAATTTTTCCCCATGAACTAAGTTTGTTTATTTTTGGGGCAACACCCAGATATTCAGGAGTTACTCATATCTTGGTACTCAGGGATAACTCCTGGTGGTACCTGGGGGACGTGATAGTTCAGGGATTAAACCCAGGCTTCCTTACATGCAAAGCATGTGCTCAGTCCAAAGAGCTATCTCTCTGGTCCATCAATCAAGATCTTACAAAGAAAATTATGATATAGGTATAGGGTGAACAGAGATGAGAGGCCTTCCAGTTGAATAACAGTGGAGATAATGTGGACTTTCAAGGAAATACAAAGTACTCAAGATTCTGTGAATGAATGTAAATGAATGAGTGTTTGTGTGTAAAAAGCATGCATATACATGGGAGATAAAGATTTTGTAAATAAATTGATAGCGATAGAGAACAGAAAGGAATGGGTTGAGGGGATGTAGGGATGGGGAAAGAGGAAGAGCAGAAAGAGAAAAATATATGGGGACTGAAGGAAAAGGTGAAAGGAGGCAGGCACGGAACAAAATATGTGCACATGGGGCTGGAGCGATAGCACAGCGGATAGGGCGTTTGCCTTGCACGCGGCCAACCCGGGTTCGAATGCCAGCATCCCATATGGTCCCCTGAGCACCACCAGTAATTCCTGAGTGCAGAGCCAGGAGTAACCCCTGAGCATCGCTGAGTGTGACCCAAAAAGAAAAACAAAACAAAAAAAAATGTGCACATGTTTGTGTATTTATGTGAGAGGCAGAGAAAAAGGATGTGTGTGTGTGTGTGTGTGTGTGTGTGTGTGTGTGTGTGTGTGTCTGCACGTGCATTTATGGATGTGCGCAGAGTTGCCATATAAATAAAGCTTTAGGTATAAGCAGGCAAAAACCAGCTTCTGGACTTTATGCTGAAAAAAGTTGAGCAAGCACTCAATGATTTCAGGCAAAAGAAGAGACAGGATCAGAGGAGAATCCCTCTACTTGGGCTTGTATGTGAATATCCTAACATGCCAGTCTCATGTTTGGCACTTGAAATGGGAGACTAAAACAGACACTGGCAAATAAAGTTCCAAATATGTGCCTGGAACTTTCTGGGTACTCCTCAATTCCATACTCCATTCTCTGTGCTCCTGGGAAAGCTGTTTCACTCACAGGATTATTATTTTAGTGAAGCAAGATAGTTTTTTTTTTTGAACAAATATACTTAGAATAATCTGCAGGGAAAGAAAGAGAGCATTACATGTTCAAGAGAGAACACAGGCTTCCCCAGAGTATAAAAAGCGAGCAAGCAAATGCCTATGTTCCAGGGAGAATACTGGTTTGAGATGCTGAGCAAACCCAGAGCCATTTGAAACTCTACTACCAGCCCTCAGCCCTATTGGTGGCACACTGAAGTCAGTGTTTGTTTATTCCAAATGCTATGAATCATTTGCCAGTGTCTCCCTGTGGGATTAAGACTGTGATACCTGGTATAACAATACCTCTTGTTACGGCTACCAGTCCTTCCCTATCTCACCTTCCGACTTGTCTACTGAAGTAACTTAGTTCCCAAATAAAATATCTTCATTTGAATCCTGCATCAGAATTCACTTCAGGAAAACGCAACTTGAGACAACAGCAGTAGCCAAAGAAAACTGACTAACCAGGCCATACTACAAAACTTAGTGGTACTGGGATTGAGAGACAGCTAGAGGGAGAGAGGATTATAATTCACAGCACTATTAATACTGACATTCACATTCTTCAGATAAGTTCATCTGACCTCTAACTGAGAAGCAATATAACCACAATGCTATATTTTCAAAACTTGACCAGTCAATCAATATCCTTTAAGTCCTAAAAATTGTTGTTCCTGGGGCTGGAGCGATGGCACAGCGGGTAGGGTGTTTGCCTTGCACGCAGCCAACCCGGGTTCGATTCCCAGCATCCCATATGGTCCCCCGAGCACCGCCAGGAGTAATTCCTGAGTGCATGAGCGAGGAATAACCCCTGTGCATCGCCGGTGTGACCCAAAAAGCAAAAAAAAAAAAAAATTGTTGTCCCCTAACAAAGTATTACAATTCATAAGATCAGTTGGGAAATGTTTCTTAAAATGTTTTTAGCTCATTTTAATGTTTTTTTTTAAATATAAAGTGAGTCTACTCTCACAAAATCATTTACTGAAATTTACTGAAAGCAATTTGGATGCTACCAAAGGTTATATAATGAAGGAGACTCCTTTTTGTTAAAAATTACTATTTCTGCAGACTTTATCCTCAGTGTCAGTGAAGACATACACACACACACACACACACACATATACACACACACTAAAAAATAATTTGGGTTAAGTCTTCACTTGGTCTATTTCATTTTTGTTTGGTTTTGATTTGGGTAGTTTGGGGGCCACACCCAGTGGCTCTCAGGGCTTATACCTTCATAAGACACTGGTCCTATTTATAAGAATTCCATATTTATGACATAACCTGCCAAAGGCCCCCACCTAAGCTTCATGTTTGAGGGATTACAAACTATGAACTCCTGGTGTGAGGGAGAAAAACATTCAGACCACAGCAGAAAGTTTTACAATAAAGGGTGGAAGGGAAAGAAGGAAGGGAGAGAGGGAGCCAACTCTTTCTATAACCGTGTGCAACTGATCCCTGAACAGCATAATGGTGAGGGGAAAGGCCTGGCCCTGTACACTAGGTATTATCTGTGAAGCAGAAGGAATGGGATGCCTGAATGGGAGAGGACCACACTGCTGAGAACCATAAAAGCAAAGTCCTGAAGTGTCAATTCTATACTCACAGTCTTTCCTCAGCCTCTGCCTGAGCAGAACAGAGGAGCTGAGACCACACAAAGAAGATCCTCTAAAGACGAAAACAGTCACTATAAGGAGTCCTAATGCTCAAATTCAGTCATGTAGCCAATAAACTGCAAGAGTAAGGTGATAAGCCAGGTACTGGCGAGTGATGGCGAGTGTTAAAGCTAATACTCTGTGTAGTGTGCCAAGGTATAGATATTCTACGAATTTATGAATGAAAGTAGGAATCTGATGAAGTCATGAAATTTACATACAAGTAAATGTAGTAACATGGAAAGTATCATACTAAGCGAAAAGAGTCAGAAAGAGAAGGACAGACATAGAAAGATTGCATTCATCTGGGGAATATAAAGTAACAAATTGGGAGATTAATACCCAAGAATAGCCGAGATAAGTACCAGGAGGTTCACTCCATGGCTTGGAGGTCTGCCGCACATGCTGGGGGAGAAGGCAGGATAGAGAGGGGAGCACCAAGTAAAGGGTGTTGAGAGGATCCTCCCAGGATGAGAGATGCACGCTGAAAGTAGACTATAGACTGAACATGAATGCCACTCAATGCCTTTTTTGCAAACCACAGCACCCAAAAGGAGAACGACAACCAAAGGGAATGCCCTGCCATAGGGGTGGGGTGGGGTGAGATGGGGGGATTGGGGGGCGGGAGGGATGCAGTGAGCATTGGAGGTGGGGAACGGGCACTGGTGGAGGGATGCGTACTCAATCATTGTATTACTGAAACCCAAGCACAAAAATTTGTAAGTCTACAACTGCACCTCATGGTGTTTCACTAATAAAAAATAAATAATAAAAAAAAAGTAGGACTCTGAGAAAATTCCATTTTGTTGTTGTTGGGTCAAAATTGAGCTGTATGATAATTCTCAGTGAAAAATGTAAGTTAATCTTATAAACAACTAAACATTAATGACCAACGTTGATCTGAAACTCACTGTTTCCAATTTTAATTTTTAAAAAAGCCTGAAAAACACACAGATTGTTGCAGTGTTAGGGACTGAACGCAGCATCTCATATACATGAAGGTCAAGTTCTCTCACTGAACCATATTCTCAAAAGAAAAAATGATGTCACCTTCAATTTTAGAAGCTTTTCTTCATTTGTGGTAAATCTTCCAATGTGAGCTTCAACTTGTTCCAAATGCCTCAAATACTCTTGATTTCGAATATGAGCCTTCTTTTCGGATTCACATATTTCCTTCAGGTATTTTTTCAGTTTAACATATTTCAGTTTAACTCTAAAAAGAAAAAGTAGACTTAAGTAATCAAGTAATCAAGTAATAATATATCTAAAGAGCGGGGAAACATAATGAAATATTTCCTGAGACTATATATTCTAAGATTTTTTACACAAAGATCTTTTACACAATATCTTTTACATACACACACATATGTGTGTGTGTATATGTATGTATATATATATGTATATATATATATATATGTATATATGTATATATAAATGTCACTGTCCTCTGTTGCTCATCAATTTGCTCAAGCAGGCCCAGTAACGTCTCCATTGTGGCACTTGTTACTGTGTTTGACATACCAAATACGTCACAGGTAGCTTGCCAGGCTTTGCTGTGGGGGCGAGATACTCTCAGTAGCTTGCTGGGCTCCGAGAGGGGCGGAGCAATAGAACCTGGGTCGGCCAGGGCAAATGCCCTACCCGCTGTGCTATTGCTCCAACCCATATATGGACTATATCTTTATATATATATATATATTTTAAAAGGAAATAAATACAACATCACTAAGGTATATCTAGGCACAAGTCTCCTGAGAAATGTACACAAGATCACAAAGATCACAGTATAACATTCACCTTTTAAAGATTTATCTGGATTTTATTTATTTATTTATTTATTTATTTATTTATTTATGTAGGAGTACTGCTATTTATTCAGCCACTGACTAGCTGATTGAATTGGGCATGAATTCCACCTTACTTTCTTTCAGAATTTTATTTATTTTTTTTCTTCTTATATTTATTTATTGAATCACTGTGGAAAAAGTTACTCAGCTTTCAGGTTTAAGTCTTGGTCACACAATAATCAAACACCTCTCCCTTCACCAGTACTCATTTTTCACCACCAAGAACCTCAATATACCCCCCCTCCCAGCCCTCCCAATGCCTGTGAGGCAGATGATTTCCACTTAACTCTTCTCTACATTGATTACATTCATTATTTCGACATAAGATGCACCATTATTGTTTAGAATTTCCTTCCCAACAATCAGAATTGCTGAAAAGGCATTGTGAAATACTTTGTTTTCTATAACTGGTTATGAGAATCATATAATCTGGCATGGCCGCAATAGTGGCCGTGCAATTTTGGATTTCTGCAAAGAGCCAGATAATTATGAGATTGGTTTCTGTGGGTCTGGTGTTATGGCTGTGCCAGAGAGCCACTTGTGGGGGGCATGAAGGACAAGCCGGTACCGCCTCCCTTCCCAAGAGATTGCAGTTGCCCCGTCACTGCCGGCTCATACATGGCTTTCCTATAAGCTCTGAGGCAGCGGCCACCTTGCTGCCGGGAGGGGGAAAAGGCGGAAGGGAGCAACACCCTTTCCCTCTTGGGGAGGCATGGCGCCGAAGTTTAACACATGGTCCATTCACTTTTTTGCCGCAAGCTGCCGGGCTCTGGAGTCCTTTTGCCTCTAGAGCCACGGCCGTGCCAGAGAGCCGCTTGTTGGGGGAAAGTCATGACCTTGGTAGGGCATGAAGGACAAGTCAGTACCAACCCCCTTCCCATGAGACTGCAGCTGCCCCATCACTGCCGGCTCATACCTGGCTTTCCAACAAGCTCTGAGCCGGTGGCCACCTTGTATATGGTCCAGGTGCATTTCTGCCAAAAGCCGCTGAGTTTTGAGATTTGTTTCTGAGTCTCTGGGATCATGGCCGTTAATTAGCTTGATCAGGAGCCAGAGAGGCCATTTGTAGGAGGTGACTCGGGGTCTTGCTGGGATGGGGAGGAAAGGGCTGGCCCCACCCCCATCTGGTGAGACCCCGCGTGTCTCATCACTGCAGGCCCAAACCTGACTGTCCAGTGACCTCTGGAGGATGGTGGTCACCAGGCCGCCATGAGGAACAGGCCAAGGCATGAAACCTATTCCCACCTGGAGTGGCCCAGTGCCAGTAACCTACTGCAGGAACAGGATGCATTTCTGCCAAAAGCCTTTGGGTTCTGAGATTCATTTCTGAGTCTCTGGGATTATGGCCGTTAAGCAGTTCGATCAAGAACCAAAGAGGCCATGCCTCCAATTATATAGCTGAGCCGGAGGTGGTTTGTGGGTATGTCTCCCACATACCTAGCTTCTGGCCATTTACTTTCTTGGTAAACTTTGCCCCAAGTTTTTGGGGTCTGGCCAAAGGCACAGCAGCAATTTTGGGGTATCTGAAAGTCTGATGGTGCCATCAGGCTGCTGATGCACTCGCCTCACAAGTACAGAATGACCTACTAGCGGCACCATACCCCCTTTATCTGGATTTCTTTCTGGAAATTAAAAGTGATTTCAAGAGCAGCATCTATGTGGCCATGTTCATATTAACAGCCCATTATCATTCTTTTATATGACAGACAATTTCAAACTACCTGTTCAAGACATATCAAACCATAAATCAAAATCCATGAATATTAAGAAATTTTAACACTTAAAATACTAAGAGTTACATAGGTAGTACATAGGGCAATTGCCTTGCATGCAGCCAACCCTTGTTTGATCCCATCACTTCACATGGTCGCCCAAACAACACCAGAAGTTACTCCTGAACACAGAAGCAAAAACAGTACTTACACACTGCCTAGTGAATCCCCCCAAAAACAATAAAAATAAAATAGAGTAAAATAAACTATCGAAAGAGTGTACGCTCTGGATTCATATTTCATCCCTAGTGCTGCATGGTCCTCTGAGCCCTGCCATACGTGATCCTCAAGCACTTAGCCAGGAGTAGGTCCTGGGCACTGTCATTTGTGACCCCCCCAAAAAAATTAGTTAAAACACTAAAGAAGTTTTCACTAAACCCCAAATCAATCTCAGACACAAAACAGCATATTATTATAATATTGTATTATACTACATGGGGTGTGCCTCTATTTAAATTGTGATGAAAATCTTTAGACTCTCACTTAAGTTATTATAGAAAGACCAAGGGGTAGCTCATGCTGTATAGTCCACTCTGTTCACAGAACCAACACTGCTAATTCTAGTGCTTTCTTCTTCACAAGTGCTTAAATTATAAAGAATACCTGGCATGCAGTCTATTGGTGGAAGATTATTTAACATTTCATCAAGCAAAAATAAGTTTAAAATAATAAAAAAAAACACTGCATTTTCAAAAGAAAATTTGCGGGGCTGGAGTGATAGCACAGCGGGTAGGGTGTTTGCCTTGCACGTGGCCTGACCCAGGTTCGAGTCCCAGCTTCCCAGCATCCCATATGGTGCCCCGAGCATGGCCAGGTATAATTCCTGAGTGTATGAACCAGGAGTAACCCCTGTGGAACGTTAGATGTGACCCAAAAAGCAAAAAAAAAAAATTTGCAATGGTACTGAAGATGCTAAAAATATATAAACAACACATCTTAAGTGTTATCCCTAAGCCAATAATTTTTAGTTTTTTAAGAAACTCTTCTTACGCTAATAATTTTCTATTTTTGTCTTGATTGGAGGGTCACATTTATCCTTCGGAACAAAAATTTACGTGGCTTTACTTTGGGGGCCTTTGTCCTCAAGGAGGCAGAGATACAAGGGCCTTGCACATACCTGGTCTATGTTCTACCACATTAGCCAGAACCCTGCCCCTGGGAGTAAGACTTTAATCAATGTCACACAGAACATTCACACACAATAAATGCAAAACTACTGAGAAGATTATAAAAGTTATCAAGAAAATGGAACTGGAAGAAGAGATTATCACCAGCTGCCTCTACTTCACCATGAATTCTTATGTCAGAGAGGCTCTACCATTTAGGTTTGGGACTAAAAACCTAATCTTAAATGACTATGTCTGTGACAGGAAAAAAAAAAAAAGACATGGAGAGAAAAAAGCAAAGTTCATCTATTTTTCTTTCATTCATTCATTCATTCATTCATCATCCTGTTATTCGTCGATTGCCTCGAGCAGGCCCCAGTAACGTCTCTTTCATCCTAGTCCTGAGATTATATTCAAGGCTCTTTAGGAGAATGAGACCCATCATTGTTACCAGTATTTGGCATATTTGGTACGCCATGGGGAGTTTGCCAGACTCTGCCCTGTGGGCAGGCTACATTCCATAGCCTGCAAGTTTGTCCAAAGTAGGAATGAGATAATAAGATGTCATAAAAAGATGTCCTGATACGCGGTTCCGGGAGCTGGATTTTATAGTCTCTGAGTCTTGGCCGTTGATGGGATTACACGGCACCAGGGGGCCAGGTGGTGGGTGTGACCCCCGCCTACTGGAATTTGGAGGATCTGGGTGGAGGATGCTGGACTCCAATCCGAGTAGGCTTGGAGATCTCGGCCCCGGAACCCGCGTGGCTTTGTCCCTCTGCCAGTACCTTCATGTGTGCGGAGAGTGGTCTCAGCATGGTGGTGGCTGGTCCTGGAGATCTTCGGCTGCCGGAGCCCTGGTCGGGGCGGGGAGGAAAGCTCAACCCGCTCCCCTCCAAAGGACCCCGGCGAGGAACAGCCAGGCACAGGGGCAGGAGACTGCACTGGTCTCGTACGGGAGCTGGATTTTATAGTCTCTGAGTCTTGGTCGTTGATGGGATTACATGGCGCCAGGGGGCCAGGTGGTGGGTGTGACCCCTGCCTACTGGAATTTGGAGGATCTGGGTGGAGGATGCTCGACTCCAATCCGAGTAGGCTTGGAGATCTCGGAGATTTTTCTTTAAAGACTCAAAATTGATAAATTAGTGTAACATTATGATTTTTTTAGGTATTAATCCTCAAACAGACTAAGGGGAAAAAAAAAACAATCTCCTGAAACATTAAAAACATTGCTACCTCAATAAAAATAAACAGAAGAGGGGCTGAAGCGATAGCACAGCGGGTAGGGCGTTTGCCTTGCACTGCAGCCAACATGGCTAACACAGGTTTGATTCCCAGCACCCCATATGGTCACCTGAGCACCGCCAGGAGCAATTCCTGAGTGCATGAGCCAGGAGTAACCCCTGAGCATCACTGGGTGAGACCCAAAAAGCAAATAATAATAATAATAATAATAATAAAATAAAATAAACAGAAGAAACAAAAAAAAAC